GTACGCCTAGGCGTGATATACAATGTGTGTGTGACCCATATGCATGCTACAGCAAATCACCAGCAGCACGAGCTCCGTAACTACAGCAACAGGCATTCACGTGAGGGAGAAAATGCAAATGAAATGGGGCTAATCGTCAGGCTGTGCGAACTCTCAGCGTGGGATGCATTCGATGATAATCCAATGCAAAAATAATGAAAAGACGCATTGAGGGAAGAAAGCCCTTTTGATCAATCATACATACCCCTCTAGGTAATGCAAGTGTAGCCACCAACTCCACATCCGACTAACCGACTATCAAAATCGCTGCGTTGCACTAACTTGAGTGGTACACCGTTCGGCCCGGCATAAAAATAGTATGCAAAATGTGATAGGCCTTCGTCATAAACGGATCTCATGTCGCCATCCAAAAGCTGGTTTGCCCAACTTTGTAACCACATCCAAGTTTAACGTGTTGTAGAAAAGTGAATGATGAATGGGCACACCTGAGCTCCAGGATTCATACTGTATGCAAAAAACTCGACTGGCTCGAAGCGATATATGCTCTATTAAATGATTATTTAAAATAAATATCTGGCAAACTATTTTTGCACAGGCAAAAGCAAATTTCCTTTTGAAATAGAACAACTGAACGGTAATTTAACTTTCACTGAGTTCAGTCTAAATGAAGACATAAATGAATTGAATATAAATATATTTTAGCACTGACAAGATCATTGAGAGTACAAATGCATTACGCTGAGCAACCAAATGGACATTGCTTCTGAACCACTTTAAAAAAAATCTCCAAAATGCCTCTTTAAGCTTGCTTAAAATGTTTGTGCAATCTTACGCGGCCACACTTTTTGAAGAGGTAAACAGCCAAAGCCGGTGATAGCAGTCTACTGCAGTCACCACTACTGAATGCCTAGCTCTAATGCGAGAGAAAGAAAATACTTCGAGACATGCTCACAAACATTCTCAAAGCTCCTAGACTACAATTAGATGTAATCACAAGAACTCCGTTGTTCTCATGTTCGAGCTCAGTGACATCACTACTTTATCACACTTGTGGCAAGATCTAAGATATAGTTGGCTAATGTTACGTACGTCCGTAGAGAGATATAAAGATTGTTGAGCATTCCGTGGTTTACGTTGAACCCCTACACTTTCGCATAGCGTCTCCGAGCACAGCCTTCATTTTTTTTTTTTTGCAACTAAATAACGTAGCAGCGATACCGCAGCAGCGAACTTGAATGTGTGCAAGCACGGAATGATGCAAAAGCTTGCGTTGACAAGCAAGGCAGTACGTCGCCTTGTACCAGTGCCACACAGGCATTTTCGATAGTGATCAAGGTCGGTCTCGGTTAGGTTTGATTTGCATTCCGTGCTGCTACAATGTCGCTCCTAATCATGATTAGGCCAGAATGAAATAAAGAAGATCGCAATCAGGCTCCAAAATCGACCGCTGTTGATCGTGATGATGAAATGGGATTCGTATTGACCCCGATTGCTACCAAAAGTGTGCGTGCAACACCACCAATAATCGCATTGTTCGCTTTCACGTATCTCTACTTTGTGATGCCCAGGACACGAGTGTTACATCAAAATCCACTACAGTCATTTACTTTGTTAACACCTCTGCAGCCTTCGTCAATTGGCTCAACATGCAAAAATGACAACAAGACTTTTTGACAATGAATTGTCTTCCAGAGCTGTAAATATGACAGAATGTGTCTAAAAGAAAAAAAAAAAAAACTCTGCCCTTCTGCGAATTGCTTTAAGAGCTTTCCCTTAGAAAAAAGGAAAGCTTCCATCCATGAACCGCGATTTCAGTCAATTCGTGCAACAAAACTAGGCCTATTTGGTTGCCCACATGCACCTGGTGAATTTTGAATGGAAGAGAGCTCCATGCAACTCGCTTCACTTACGAAATTGCTGATTCGCACCAAAAGTTTCCACACATCGTGGCGTTTTGATGTGGCCACGTTTCATGTCGTCAAGGCCAGGGTGTCGGTTGAGGCCTGCTCGCTACAAAGGGCAAGGCCATAAATCCAGTCCAATACAACGCAAAGCAAGGCTAATGTTCATGTACATTGTCCCGACTCGGGAAGCATGGATGAAACATGTGCTACATGCTACAAGGAGATAAGACTACTGGAAACGACGGTAGAGGCAACGTCTCATAAGCTGTTGGTTGCTCCACTTATCTCAAGTTTTGCTAACTGGTGAAAAACTATAATGAAACACAGCTTACCAAACGGCCACCCATTCCAATTCTAGTACATTTTGTTTGGACTAGTATTGAAGCACTGCAATAGGCTGTCTGTGGCACGATCTTAGTAGAAACGAAATAGTGGCATCGTTTCCAGCAGTAGGACCAATTATGGCACACACCATAGTTCACTGAAGTCATAACATGTGCAACTTTTACATATTTGCTAAGTCCCCTATAAGTTGCTCAATGGCAACATGAAAAACTGCTGCAACATTTGGCAGAATACAGCAACATGACTTGCAGTTAACAATGGGAGAAACTAAAAGAATGATTTCGAGTTGGGCATGGGAGCACCTGTCGGATATTGGTTCCACGGACATATCTCTGCTTCAGGCTGCTCGGAACCATCAGTGGGCTAAATAATCAGTCAGTGGCAGCACAATCTGTTCCCCAGAAAAGGATCTATATCTGGGCTAGTTGGTATGATAACATGCTTAGTGCAGCATGAAACATTACGTATATTGTATCCATTCTTTACTTTAGCAGCGAACACCTGTTTAACCACACTTGCGAAAGCTTGGGGCTCTCAAATTAAGCTCGCACGTACGACAGCGGTATACGGTTACGAGACGATAATGCAAATGCCTACACTAAAGGCACAAATACGTTGCGCTTACCACATCAAAGCGAAGGTACAGGAATCGAAGCGGGGGGTTCTGCGTGGGATACGAAGCCGAAGCGTCGAGCACGCCTTTGTGCAAGGCATCACAGTCCCATACCGTTGGGGATATGTACACACAATGCTATATGCTTGTATAAATAAGAAAATTTACGCAACAAAATGAAGAACTGTCCACAGGTAGAAGCATCCACGCCGTTCCTTTTCCAACAGACCTTGTTCGCATCTAATCGGACGCAAAATGAAATAAAAATAGCCCTCCGACAAAGGTCCTAGAGTACAACCCTGTTAAAGAGACACTAAAGTGGAACAACTAAGTTTAGATTGATTATTTTTACCCTGAAAACACAGGCGCTGTACCACCGTAAATTTGTTAATAGATGACAAAGTCAATATTGCGAGGTTCTTTAAATTTCTCACTGAAATCTGACGATGTGACGAATTTCAGCGTTTTTTCATATTTTGGTCATATTAGCTGAATGACAGTTTCTCAAACTTGTGTGTGAAGCCCTTGGTTCCCTCGGAAGACAATGTGCTTCATTACTACCATTCAGGAAATATTCATGTCGTAGCAAGCGCTGTCAATATCAATAACATCATGGCATCTAGTGCATAAACTTCAAGGTGGCGCCACTACCCAAGATTTCTTTTGGCATATTTACCACAAGTCTTGTCGAAGCAAGCGTTGGCATTGCAAAGGAGAAATTTCCTAAAGCGAGAAAAATCACTTGCCTCTTTGGAGTCCCTTTAAAAGCTCAATTCGAAGAGTTATCAAGAATACAAAGGCACTAAAAACTTATTGCCCAGAGATGGTGAATGAGCAGTGCATAGAGCTTGTCAGTACCACACAGACTGCAGTGAAAATTTCGCCGACACTTCAAACACAAGAGGGACTCGAGTGCCAATTGGATGCGACTTTTCGGCATGCATTGCACTATACTCGCAGACAACCTTCTTGGCAATGAACGAAAGGCTATGGAGCCAGAGCGGGTGTGTGATACCACCGAAGAACACACAAAAGCAACATTATTTTTTATGCGACGCTGTTTACACAGGCACGCAGCACGCACCCAGGAGATATTCATATTTGTTTTGCTTTATGGAATGCCATTTCGCATTTGTGCGTGTGTGAAGTTGTCAAACGGTTTATGAGGACTTCACTGTGAAAATGGCATCATCGTCTTTAGGTGAGAACTCGTTGCCCTTCCGTACCTCCTACGACTCGCCGAAGGTGCTTGTGTCGAATTTCCCTCTCAAATGGCCGTCTAAGCAGACGTGAAAATGATGTGCAATATAGTCAAACAGTAGTCATTCAACGCAGCAGCCGAACCTGACTACTTCGCTGAGGAGGAGTACATGTGCAGTCGCTCCGCCTCCGTAGCTTTCCTTTCATTGCAGAGAAAAGTTGTCTGCGAGTATTAGCAGCACATGTTCAACTGAAACGAAGTTTGCCAAACAGAAATCAGGCATTCGCAATTACAGTGCTGGCATGATTTTAAACTTTGGAAAAGAGAATTCTATTTCATAACAAGCACCACATTTATCACTAGGAGGTCGCTTGCAATTATCTAAAGCCAAAGCACACGCATTCGGAGAATCGAATTTCTAAATGAAAGGAAGTCGGAAAGGCTAATAGTGAGTGCTGTAATAACGGAACGTAGCTTGAACACAAGTTGTCGAGTATCGGGTGGTACAGGACAATCTTGAACGAAGCATGTACATTTATTTTTGAAAAAGATTTCCAGGAAGACAGAGTGGTTAAAAAAAGGCTCACTTTCAAAATTGTCAGCCGCCGATTCAGATGTATCGACACTGGCTTTAAAGAAAAAGGTGGACTGGTGTGGACTGGTTCATCTGAAAGCATGATGGGAATTTGAAAAGTAAAGCAATTAGTCATTTTTTGGTTAAGTACTCAAGCATCACCCATTTCCCTGAATAGTGAATACAAAGAAAAAATTCACAAAAAAGAAAAGAATGCTTATTGCATAGAACAATATCAAGCTGGATAAAATAGGATGCACGCTGAAGTAGAAGTGAATTCCTTCCTAAAGTCCTGAAAAACGTGTGACATGCCGGCTGGAGTGCAGGTAAAAGAAAAAAAAACAGCAAAACAACGAAAACATAAACAGCATCTATATTCTTTTTTTTTATTCACATCCAAAGGCTTTCATCAGTCACCCGCCACTTCAGTACGATTCATTTCTATTAAAAAAAAAAAGATACATGCACTAAAACCTTTCGCGTGGCAGACAAAATAAAATAGCAAGAGTTTGGGCTTTGGACGACTGGACTAAGTAAAAAAAAAAAAGGACCAGTCAGTATCAGCCATTTCCGGAAACTGCTTGGGTGTCATCATCAGCAACTGTTATAGATCTGTAATTAAAGTAAGCAACTCGTGGCATTATGGCCGACTTCGAAAACTTCAAAATCAACTGAACCATTTTGGACTGGCTACAGAGCTTTACAAAACTTTTTGCCCATCATTGCCTTCACAAAATAGCTGCTGCTAAAAAAAAAAAAAAAAAAAAAAACTAGATAACCAAATGTGACGCCTTATGATCGACTTTAGAAGTCCTGTGAAGAGCTTAATTACATGTGCAAAACAAGACTACCCATCAAGTACGAAGTGCGACAGCTAACAGTACAAGTTCGTTTACAAAGGCAGGTTCGATAGCAGCGACCGGTTAGGTACAAACATTGCCTCAATTGCAACCTCCGTGCAAATCTCATGTGAATGTGTAATTTCACAAAAGGAACTTTACATGAACGTGTAAATCTCATGAACATTTTCATGTGAAAGTGCGAATTCTCAGATACTTTGAAGTAAATCCCAAGGAAAAGTAGCCAATACAAGTACGTAGCACACATGTAAATGCTTATTCTTAATAGTGGATATAATGAAAATTTTTTCTTCAGTGCAACTCGTTACTGCAATGTTCAATAATTGATAATGCATGTAGAATTCAATAGACACCTGGCAGGCATAGTCAGAATCAACTAGATTACAGAGGAGTAAAGCTTGTATGATAATTCAGTGGCGTTTCTGAGTGTCTCAATACGAGTGTATCATGGCTTACGAGGCTTTAGCCAATGCCAGATTCAGCCTTTGATGTGCAACCACACATCTCAACCAAAGTCAGCACTTTACTATAATGTAACTAGTTGTAAAAGTTTTTTCAGACTTTACTGCCACTCAACCTACAGGGCACAGCCTGTAAAGAAACTACGTCGCACGAGTAGCAGTTTGCATTAGAGACAAAATATGATGACACGCAAGCTAAGAAACCTAAAATGGTCAACACTGTGTGTGAAAAACAAAACAAAATGGAAAAAAAATTTCATAATCAACAAAACAAGTAAAAACAAAAATGAAAGCTCATTTGCACATGTACAATATTTACACAGCATTGTTCGCAACCTATGTACAGGGCCAAACAAAAGTTTTCCAAACAAATTGAAATATACGTAAAATTCATTCGCACAATTCTATGCTATATCTATAGAGAGAAGGCAAGAAAAAACTTTCACGTAGCCTAGCACGCTTTGGCATGTGACAAGGCCGGCAGGCGCATTACACGTGATAAATCGAAGGAACACCGAGACGTGCACAATATGGATACGCGTGTTTATGTATGTATATATAGATATATACAGGTGCCGTGGCAAGAAAAAAAAAAGGCCTACGTCCCGACAGTTATGTACAATCCTTCCTTGATCACTTGCCTCAGCAGCGATAGCTTCGTCACAACACAGGAATATGCGTGCACGCCCTCCACATCAAAGACAGAGTAAAACGGGAATTAAAGAGGCCACGTTTGTTCCGTTGCTCGCCTGTGTTTTTTCTGTTCCCTACAAGTCGTCATCCGCGAGACGGGGGGACCTCGCGAAAGGACAAATGCGCAAAGAGAAAGTAGTTCCCAACGAGTCGATGTTTACTTCCCAAGCGCTCATGCCGGGTACGTTGCATAGAGTCTAGCTATGACCCATTCCCCTGTCCCCCTCAAACGACAACAGTCCGCAGAGACGTCGGCATGCATTAAGTAGACGGTGCTATCCACAAGAAGTTTTGCCAATTTGAAAACTTGGCATCAATGATTTTTCTAACAGTTAAGATTACCTGCAGCATTCTCAAAATTCTGCAAAGAGATGCCCGACAGTACATAAGGTTTATAACTCGTTTTAATGCACGACTTTCCCCGTCTTGTTTGCACGAGAGAAAAATATGAACTGTGAAGACACATGGGTTTTAGCATCGTGAGGCCATCTGCTTGAGAACATTCGCATTTGGCTTTTTTTTCCCAACAACCACCTCTAACGTCCCCGATAATGATCACATTTTTTTTTCCTTAAAGGCAAAATACACTAGAACAGTGTCCCAATACGAAAAACAAAGGATAATTACCATGGCAGCCCGATTTTGTATTGCATTATGAAGCAAATGCTAAGCTGGTCTTGAATAGTTGTTCAAACAATGCTACCAAATCGACACAGCATTTGGCACATGAAAAAATAGATATTCAATCAGACAGCAGCAATAAAGTGCGCCTAGAACACGAATTCTATCAAAGTGACACAATATTCCACAGAAAGTCCCAAAAACCACAATGCTGCAAACGATCGCAACACATGCTCCATGCGTGGCGCGCACAGTGCAGCCGTTAAAACGTTACAGCGACCTCTCTTGCACAAAACCCCATCAAACATTATCAACTAGTGAATACGATACTTCGGCAACTAAACTTGACCAGCCAAGCAAAGTTCTATCAAACGTTATTGAACCGGTGAATTCAGTGCTCCAGCCACTGAACTCCAGCTACGGAAACTGTCTACATGCAGAGATTTGACAAAAATGTGCACAAACAAGTTCAATCAAGCGAAGTCGCGGAACAATGAGACGCATTTGAAGAGGAAATTGTGCGTAGCACGAGCTACGAATGACCAACTACCTTTCCTGTTGCTCAACCGACTTGCATTGTCCGAAATGCAAAAGAAGAAAAACTCAAGGGAGCTTGCTTGGCCTTGGTAGCCTTTTGCAACGCAACATTCTTGTAACATGATCAACGATGAAGTGCAGACATAATGATGTGAATGCGAGACAAGAAAATGATAGAAACTTTGTGGCAATTGCTCTGAAAGACGCGGCGCAATCCGATGGGATGTCGATGACGGGCAAATTATATCTGACGCAACAGACGAGTGCACCCGAGCATACGTGCATACGCAACACGTTCACTTTGCGAATGGCTAACGAAAAACGTGTATGCAACATGAGCGGCACAAACGCGATTTTGCAGCTTTTAAAAATTACCAGAAAAGAACAACAATATTAGGAATAGGCGAGTAAAATAAACAAAAGAACACAAACAGAGAGGCATCCCTCTTGATAGGTTTTTGCATGTGTTAAAAGCAAGATAAAAGAAGTTTCTCCCAGCTTGGTTTAGGCGGGAAGGACCAAGGCCTACAGATGAGAAGCACTCGCGATGGCAAGCGTTCGCATCGCGACGAGAGAGTAAAATTTACAGAAGACATTAAGAGAACACCAACAAACAACAATGCTGGCCGAACGCAACGGGGAAAACAATGCGCAGTTAAAAACCTAACAAACAACAGATAGAAAGAACAAAAACATGCACACACACACACACATGTGCACAACATGCGCACATACACAGCATACGCAGCAGCAGAAGTCTCCAACAACACAAGGAAAACCAGTGCTGCTGTTGTCATGTGACTCAGTGGCTGCAGGGGCAGGCGTCGTGCGGCATGGCCGGTGTACAAGTCCAATGCAGCAAATGGAAAAAAACAGGGAGGGAAAAAAAAAAAAGAAACGAGAACACCTCATTTCTTCACTCTCTGCAAGTGCAGGACTTGACGTAGAGGCAGAGAGGGAGGAAGAAAAAAAACTAAGAAAACCAAAAGCCATTGCTGACGACGCAGTGGCCCCAGCTTGCACTAAAAGGTCCAGCCTGAGGAAAATTGCGCTGCGGAGCGGCGGTACCCAGGAAAAGTTGACAACGAGGAAAAGACGCCCGCACTCACGAAGAACGGCACACCGAAAAACTCTCCACTCGTGCGCCCCGCCAACCTCTGGAAGGGGGGGAGGGGGAGCACTTGCAACACTTGGTGACCGTGGGGGATAAAAAAAAAAAAAAAAAACTCGCTGCGGCGTCTTCTCCAGTTTCGTTTTTTCGGTCCTCATAGACGGATGCCAGCACCCGGAGTGGGGTTGGAACAACACCGTGCCACTCAAACACAGCAGTGCAACACAAGGTGCGCCAACAGAGCAGCCAGTGGAAGAGTAGTGCAGCGAGCAGGTGAAAGCTGGGCCGTCTTTCACGCTTTTTGCGTCCGGTCTTTTCGGAAAAGAGGCAGGCCGCTGGTTTCGAAGCCAAGGATTGGGATAGCCTTGCAGAGACCCAAAAGGCAACGCAGACACACTGCAGCCCGGCAAAAGAGCCCACTGAGAGAGCGATCAAGCTTCACCAACCAGTGATTACATGCGCCTCGATGTTCGCGCAAGGCTCCAGAGAGCAATCTCCAAATTTTGCCAAGCTCTCGCTAATCTTAGCCTCTTGCTAATATCGCTTTTACATAGCGGGTTTCTGCGCAAAAGGAGTAACTGCTTGAGGAAGAGGGCTGGTTATCTGCACTGCTTCGCGTTGACGAGCGGTCCCAAGTCGTGGCCGTACGGTTGCAACGCGAGTAAGACAGCTGCGCTATCACACTGCAGCCACGACTCGATAGGTACGCGAACCATTCACGTACAGGCAGAATCACCCGCAATCCAGCCGAAATTCCGAAATTCCGAAATTTCTGGATGTCAAATTCAGTCTTTGCAGGTGTGAACGCCTGTGCTGACAAGCTCTCTCGGTTGCCTTGTTGGGGTTTCGAAGCAGGAATAAGTGTGTTGGGGGTGGGGCGCACTTAAAAGCCTAATTGATGCCTGCACAGCTCCTATCCCGAAGGCACCTCGCCGCCTTGCTGGATGCCTTGTTTGTTCCCAATGGGCGTGATCAGGTGGCGCGTCTAGCAGAGCTGGGAGGCGTCGGAATCGCGCTGCGGCACAGCTCGCCTGCAGTCACAGACGCCCGAAACGCAGGCGTGGGAAGTGACCTTAGACGAGACCTCGTGTCCCTTCCTTTTCTTTTTTGCCCTTGGCAGCGATTCTTCAGTTACCATGAGGGCAGATGAGCTTCAAGGCCTGTGAAACCTGGAAACAATAAAATTCACACAAATTGGCACTTTTAATGACTTCCCTTTTCCTGTAGGCCAAGAATGTGGGTTACAGTGTTGCGAATCAAACATGAGCATGCAAAATGCGCAACAGCGCCGAGTCCCATTCTGTGTGCTGGCCGTTCATGCCTGCAATTTGATACTTACTGCTAAACCAACAACAATCCCAAATTCTCAGTTTTTCTCACCAGCGCACATTTGCACATCTAATGGTGGCGATGAACGCATTCAAGTGAAGGTTAATTTCTAGTTGCATGTAATTTGCCCCTGCTTTCAAGGCTACATTTCGTTTTTTTTTTTGACAATTTGCACTGTGAACAGAACCTGCAGCATTTGCATTCGTCGGCAGTGACGGCACCAGCTACTAAACCACTGTGGGTGTGCAATAAAGTAGAAAAACTGAAAAAGCTTCACATAATGGCACTTCATCATATGACACTGAAAATACAAACTAGAAAAACCCTTAAACCACCATTGCAACTTTCTTACCATGTCAGGGTAATCACACGTTTATGTTCCCGAGACACCCTTGTCATGTGCCCAATAGCTGAAATGCTTAACCACTTCGAAAATAATTTTTAATAAGCAAAAAGAGGTCACACTGAAACCGAAACCCAACCACGGTGCTGCCAACATACGACGTACTACAGTAAAAGCTCGTTAATACGACACCCGTTAATTAGGAAATTCTGATAATTCGGACGGCTCTATTGGTCTCGGCCAAAGTGCATGTTAATCTATGGGACCAAACCTTCGTTATTTCGTCGGAATTCGACTCCGCACCGCATAATTCGGACAAATGCTGACGGCTGCTGCTACACAAAAGTGTGATAAAGCAGCGCTGGCACCACTGAAGTGAAACCAAAACCTGAGTGGCATCGCCATCATCATTAACTAGTGGGGGCGATCGCAGCGTCACCGAACGTCGGCGTCTTCTTTCTTCTCCACTCAGCGCCTCTGACGCCATTTTCTCTTTTGTTGTGTTGGAACCATCTCTTCTTGCGGAGTTCTCTTTTTCTTCTATTGTGACCATATTTGCATGCCACCACCATCGTGCGCTACAGTGATGGCAACGCCGAAAAAGCGGCAGAACTACGACGCGAAGGACTTGGTGACTAAAGTGGAAATTTTGGAAGCACTGAAGAACGGCAAATCGCGACAGCAGGTTATGACCAAGTACAACGTGAAGCGGAGCACGTTGGGAACGTACGTGAAAAATGAACAACAGATTCGACAAGCCTTCGAAAGCGAGAAGTGTCATGCCTCTAGAAAGCGGTTGCGAACCGCAGCTTATCCCCAGCTCGAAGAAGCTTTGCTCCGGTGGATTACTGACTGTTGCAACGCGCATCTGCCTTTGAGCGGACCTCTCATCATGGCGCAAGGTGAGAAGTACGCTGCAATGATGAACATTGAATCGTTCAAAGCATCGGAAGGGTGGTTTGCGAGGTTTCGAGAGAGACACGTACTTGTCTTCAGGACTGTGTGCGGCGAAAAGGCCAGTGTTGACAAAAGTGTGACCACCGAGTGGAGAAATGTGAAGCTGCTGGAGCACACCGCCGCATATGAACCACGTGACGTGTTCAATGCAGATGAAACTGCTCTATTTTTCAAAGCTCGGCCCGACAAGACGGTGACTTTCAAAGGGGACGCGTGCATTGGTGGCAAGAAGTGCAAGCAAAGGATAACTGTGCTTCTTGCCGCCAATATGACTGGCACGGAGCGCTTGCCACTACTTGTCGTCGGGAAGGCGCTTAAGCCACATTGTTTTAAGAACGTCAAAAGCCATCCTGTCGAGTACACAGCGAACAGGAAGGCATGGATGACATGGGACATTTTTCGCGGCTGGCTGCAGCAGTTGGACCGGCACTTCACGTCCAAGGACCGCAAGATAATTATGGTTGTTGACAACTGCAGTGCCCATAACTGTACAGTCAAACTGAAGAGCATCAAAGTAGTTTTTTTGCCGCCCAACACTACGTCTGCTCTTCAGCCGATGGACCAGGGTATCATTCACTGCGTGAAGTCGAAGTACCGCAAGCACCTGCTAGAGCGAATGATCCTATGCTCAGAAGCTGGAAAGTTGTATCAAGTGGACTTACTCGGCGCAGTGCCCATCATCGCCCACGTGTGGAAAAACACTCCGCCGCAAGTCATCGCCAACTGTTTTCGGCACAGCGGTTTTTTGAGGCCCGAGAATGCAGCAGTAGCTGACGATGGCATCGAGGAGGTGTCAGCCGAGTTCACCGACGATGACTGCCTGACTTTCGATGCTGTCCTTCCCACAGATGTGACCTTTCAGGACTACATCGCGATTGATCATGGTGTCGCCACGAGTGGTCTCCTGACCGATCAAGAGATTATTCATGATGTCACGGGTGCCCATGAAGACCACAATTCCGAGGAAGAATCATGCGAGGAGATACAGCCGTGACCTCATCGCACCTCACGGGAAGTCTCGGAGGCGCTGTTAATATTAGAGGACGCTTGCCTTAACACTCCCGACAGCTTGCGTGCTGTTGGCCATTGGGAACAGTTAAGAAAAATTGTGATGTCAGCCGGAATCTGCGCGAAAACGCAGACGACAATTACAAAATACTTCAACAAATAAAGGTATGCTTCTGCAGCTTGATTTTAAATGTTGTTGTCCCTGTTCATTCGTTAATTTGGCATTCGGTTAATTCGGACAGTTTTTCCGGTCCCGTGAAATCAGAATTAACGAGCTTTTACTGTACTTGGTAATAACCGGAAATCCTCCTAGGCCAATCTGTCTCGCCAACGTGGAATCGTAAACTGCGAAAACTGGGAAGAGTAGACGCTCCACAGATATGTGACCGCGTTTCATAGCTTCCGGACAATAACAACTATCATTCGTACAATTCAAGTATAAAATTGGTATATTGTTTGCAGACAGTCTGCTGTATGAGGATTCGACTGTACATCCAAACTTCACCATGGCATCGGCTTCTCACCAATTGCTTAGACCTGTTATGACCACCGCATAGAATGGCATCTTTGTTGAGGTCAAGAACGCAGGCACAGCTCTAGCAGTGCGCAGGGAGAAAACTACCTGTTGCCAGAGAGCAACACGGGCAAGTGCCGACAAGGGGTGGTGTGGATAACATACCTAGTGAGGTGCCTGCTGTCTTCATGAACCTCCATCTCCATGCTTTTGAATTCATTCAGTTCTTTCCTAATGGCAGCCTGCGCAAAATCCATATGCAACATCCAGTGAGCATCAGTCACTCCGAGAACGCTTCTAATTTTTTTTATTTAGCCCAACATCCACATACTATAATTAACACGCATAAAACAACACTACAGGGTAATTGTAAAACTGGAGGTTCTTTTGCCAGCAATGGCATGCAGTTATAATTAGGGGTGTGGGAATATTGGAAAGTTTAGAGTATTCGTCGAACATTGCACTCGCAGTATTCGTATTATATTTAATAACCAGGTATTTGAAAAGTTTGCACATTCTAAGTAACTTGAATAATCAAACTTTTATATTACAGTAAAGAACTTCAGATTTTGCGCCTTTACGATTAGTGATTACTGTGACTTCGGCACGAGTGCTACAATGAAGTGAAGTTTTATTTCCTTTCACACAAAGGAAGATGCCGGGGCTTAAGGCTGGGATGCCTGCACAGAAATACACGGGGGAGAGCGATAACGGCTACCGATATATGTCCCGACATATTATCGCGACAAATCCACCAATGATAAACATTAATCTAAATCATGAACCGCCTGCTTGGAAGCATGTGTGGCTTAACGGTTTAGTGCTGTTACCCCTAGTGCAAGCCGACTGTAGTCTGCAAGTGTGTATTGTTCGTCGAAATGACGCCAACTTGTCACTGTTGCATTGGCCCGACAAAAACCATCGCACCTTTGCACGGCATGGTGCCAAGTGAGCCGGTGCCACGCGAGCACGAACAAAAAATGTCATTGAGCAAGGGCAAATGCATCACCATGGCAGCGTCCAATCCGGGTGTGTGCTGCACGGAGTGCTGAACACAGGGGGGTACATTTTTTTTTCTTTCCCGATTTCTTTTTTTTGCTTTGTTGCATGTGTTGTGTGCCGTTTTCCATAGCGTAGTTGCAATCCGACAGTCCGGAGCAGATGTATTTTTGAGCTCCTGTCGCCTGGCATTATAATGAGGAGTCTTCAAGGCGTGTAAAAAAAGGCGCGCCTCTCATTGCTGGTGACCAAAAAATGCGTTATAAAGGACACGCAGTGTGAATGTTTTCAACTCCCTTGACTTCCATTATAAGCAATCTACAAGGTATAAATATTATGACAAAGGTGGGCATGGTCTAAAACATCCGACATATGAATGAAATGTGCCGGCTCTTTGCAAGAATCATAGTATATTGGTTCTTTGCATTGTAATTGCTGTCTGAACTGAATTGGTGATAACAGCCGAGAAGCTTCTGATATGTGATGGTTTGAGTCTTGCATTGAGTGTTAACTCAAACACTTCTTAGCCGGCCAAGAACAGACACCCAGAAGAAAAGAAAGAGAGAACAGTTACATGTCTCGAAGCCATGATTCACGGATATGAGGGTATTTCCATTGAAAGCACAACTTTGTAGTAACAACAATCAGCTTTCAGCAAAGCAGTGTAAAATTCAACAGTGCTACACAATCCAGTCTCAGCTGTTTCCCAAGTTCTGACAAAATGCCCTATTAATTGATTGATATGTTGTAGGGTTTAACGTCCCAAAACCACTATATGATTATGAGAGGCGCTGTAGTGGAGGGCTCCGGAAATTTCGACCGCCTGGAGTTCTTTAATGTGCACCCAAATCCGAGTACACGGGCCTACAACATTTCCGCCTCCATCGGAAATGCAGCCGCTGCAGCCGGGATTCGATCCCGCGACCTGCGGGTCAGCAGCCGAGTACCTTAGCCCCTAGACCACCGTGGCGGGGCAAAATGCCCTATTACCTTATCTTTCGGCGTCAACCTGGTCCACGGCTTGTCGGCCCTGCGGTCGTAGTCTTGTGCCTGCGTCACCTCGACGTAGTCGTTGAAGCGAATGATCTTTCGCTCCTTCAGTTCCTCAATGGTGGGCCGGAAGCTCAACTGCCGGAGGCAAAACAAAGGTGCTTCTAAAGCCGAGAGTATATAATAATTCCTGGCGTTTTGCGTCCCACAACAGCGATGAGATTATGAGAAATGCTGTAGTGGAGGGCTCTAGAAATTCAGACTAGCCGGGGTTCTTTAATGTACCGTCAGCAACAAATGAAGCCCGAGCAGCGGCAAGACTTCGCAATAGTTGCACGCTGTACACTTATCGCCACGAACAGGCATGCATATATGCGCAGAGCTACCAAACAGGATGTGCGCGCCTGTCAATAGTGAGAACTAGATGGCACGCACAGTACCATCGCGAAGGCTTGCCGCTGTTCGGGTTTCATTTGACGCAGGCAGTACGCCTAAATCCAAGGACACGTGCTTTAAGCACTTTGCTTCCATTGAAATGTGGCTGCCACAGATGGTACTCAATCCCGCAACCTTCGGCTCACTATTTGAGCACCATAACCTATATACTACATTGTGGTGGGTTTCTAAATCTGACAAAAGCTGTGCCAGGTTGTTCCCTGTTGAAGGTGAACATTGTTCGCTCTAAAATGGCATGCCCTAAATCTTTTTTTTCTCGACTGCGAGAAAATTTCAAAGCCCAGATGCGAATTCTGCATCAAAATACATCACCAAGGACCAGCACTCTAGGTAAAACGAAATTCCAAACGCATGTCTCTGCAAGTATTTTTGCAGTGTGGTATGTATTTCTCACAAACTACTAGTTCGCATCGTTCCCACTATGCGAACTAGTTCGACAACTAGAGCATGCTGAACAAAGTGTTCAATCATTCATAACAAATGGCTTGTCCCAAAGAGGCACGTTAATTACCTAATGCAACCACTATTCACTAGTCTACAAAGTTCCTTCCCTTTTCAATAGGTGTGAAAATGAAGGTACTGATGATCATGCTTTCACTCGGAAATAAATGAGACTTCTTTTGTTTTTTAATGATCCATGATGCCTGTGTGTGAGAACAAGTACTTAGACCTGTGGAACAATTGCTGAAATTATCACTCTCTATCCCAATGTATTTATGGTATTTACTTCTAGTTTGGTTCTGACATGAACTTGCATTGTTCTACTGCTTTTTGCTTTTTCAATAACTGTCAGATGACCGCTGTTGTACATAAGCTCATTTCTTATGCGTTTTTCATTAAGACAACCCATGTACACTTGTATACTTTATTTTGTTGTATGCTGTCTATAATACTCTCAACCTGTTTGCAACAAATAAAGATTCATGGATTGATTCTATGCGAAATCGTGAAGCTCTTGTGTGTAAGAACTCATACCAAAACTTAAGACATTCCACCACTAGCAAGACATTAGTACTTCAGTAACATTTTTTTTTTTAAAAGCAATTTCACACACGGAAAAAAAAAAATCAACGATGTTTGAATCATTGAAGGCATTAGCATTAGATGATGGAGGAAAACGATGTTTTTTCAGGACACATGCATCAAGCAATCGTGAAGGACACTAGATTGCTAGATGCACGATATACACCGAAGTAATACACGGGACTAGGCAGCTGTACCGACTGCACATGGAATGCAGCAATCATTACAACTACCACTATGACCATGGCTACTGCTATCGGCACGAAACCCTATCCAAGTAGATTCTAAGAGGTATCGAATCTGAAGGGGATCATAAGAAGGCTCACTATACAAGTTACGTTATATATAAAATGTGTGAGCACACAATGTGTGTAGTTTGTTGTCTTCACCAATGCATACAAATCAACGTAATTATCATTACCATTCTCGTTGGGTGTTCTGTCTTTGGTTCGTACTTTGTTGTAAATACGACAATTGCATTGCAGTTTCGGACTTACACAATTGTAGGTCAACCCCTTTTGTATTATTTGAAATTCAAATTTAGGCGGCCGACCAAGAATCAAAAACTAGTTTCAGGTGTAAAGTCTTCGGGAAAATTATTCCCCCCCCCCCCCCCGTATTCCCACAAAGCTAGCTTTTCTGCACAGCTTTCAAGCACTACTTTGAAGGAACCATGACCCACCAAAATTCTACAGTTTTTGTTTTTTTGCAGGCAACGCAAATAAATTTTATTAAAATGTGCTCGTGCTGCCCTTTTTTTCTTTTCTTGGCGTGCCAATTTAGGGGGGTTCACCTACATTCGAGTCGACATAAAATCGTATAAATACCATACCTGACGTCTCATATATGTTTTATATATCAATAATATTTCAAGAGGTTTCTACAACAGTTTCATGTGCATAATTCGTCTTAGGTGGGATTGATATACGTTTGCTGGGCCATAGCACATCTCCGCACAAGTTTCTATCACAAAACCCATTTTCCTTAGACCTACGGTTCGACAAGGATGTGACAGTCTTCAAAAGATATTTAAACATGGAATAATAATAATATAGAAAGCCAGTGTGCCACTTACCTTCCGTATTAATACTTTTTTCTTCTGCTCCTTTTCCTTCTTGAGCTCTTCGGCAGTCTGGACTGAAAAGTTGAAACCAAAGTTTAGACCTGGACAAGCAGCGCAGTTATACACACGTCTTGAGCAACAAAACACTACGTGTCTAACAAAGTGACCAGAAAAAGGAAGCAACTCACGCTTGAGAATATTCCTTTGTTCTAGCTCTTCAGGCGTAGGACGCAAACTTAGCCTCCTGTAAGCAGGCAAAGAAAAAAAAGAAAACATAATTTCATAAGTTTAAGTGTCAAAGGTTTGATTTGCATGACGTTCAGCACAAAACAGTCACCCAAAAAGAAGAGTCCAAATCATAAGACCCAAGGCACCGGGTATAACTAATGTGGTTAAAGAGAAGTGTATAGCCACCAATACACTCACTCCTCCGGCTTAAGTGTAAGTGTTGACAAATAAATTGGCATTTTTGCATGGTATACACGACACAGAACATCACCATAACATCGGTGTAATGTCAAGATGGTGCACAATATAACGTACAGTATAATGGTCTCATCTGCTACTTTTTGCTGTTCTTTAACTCCAAAACGACAATCCCAATCAACCCCCACATGATAATGAGTACTAGAAATAATCTTCTGCACCGGCATACGCGGTCGTTGCACTTGGAAAAACTCTGACAGGGCACCAAAGATAGCGTGCCGCCAGCCAGCGGTGCTTACGTTGAGTGCCACATGTCGCCCCAAGTGTAAATAAGCGACAGTATCTTGGATCTTGCCCATCAATGGAGACATTTGCTTACACTTCGCCAACATGCATCCAAGGCTACTGAGCGCAATGTATTCTGTGAGAATGAAATAAGCGACGAGAGAGGTGAATTTTCGTCGCATAGATGGTCAGTGCCTGGACATGTGCTGCGAAATGTTTTTAGTCTTTTCAGTAACGGACAGACCAGTCACTCATTGATAAAGATCACTGTGCGACGGCGGTGAGACCTTCGAAAATAAGCATTGGAAGATATCAAAGGTGTGCTGGCTGGCGATACTCATGAAACTATGGCTTATCGCTGGCAACTTTGTCACAGATATCCGCAGCTATCCACTCGGCTGCATGTGTGGTGTGAACTGTTCGGATTGACGGCGGTACATGCAGTAATAGAGTATACAAGAACGCAATACTGTGGTTTGCAACTTCCCCGCTGCCGCGCCGTGCGAGATAAATTGCACGCAGTTTTCTAGAAACGAAAGTAACTCAACTGCTTGAGCAAGCGGCACGAGCACTGAGGAACGTTGATGCACTGACAGCGAGTGTATACGGAGTGTTTCATTAGGCGACATCCTAAACGTGCCACACGTTGTCGTGCAGGATTGGCGTAGCAACGCGGACGTAGAGTGTGCATTGCTTGCAAAGTGCTTGTCTTTACCACGTTGAACGAACAGGCTACTTGCTGCACTCATGCACGATCCGAAGTGAAGCGGGCAAGATTAGAGCATAAATGCGCATTATACATCAAGCTGCCTGACAGTGATGGCGCAAGCGAAGTAGGCAACATGCTGCACATAACTAGCCAGGAATAATCGGCTCAATGTGGCAGTATCATGCTTCAATGAAATGGTGTCAGTGCATTGAAAAGGATTACTTAAATGCAGCAGTGTCACAACGTAAAAGGCTCAACTTGTCACTGGAGAGATTTTTAGCACTTTTCAATAAAAATCTGCAAAGAAATAGCGGACTGCTCGATAAGAGCACGTTTTTGAAGGAAAGTCTCTATACAGATAACTGCGAATATAACGACCACTTCTCCAGACCCCTCCGAGTTCGCTCAAACTTGTTCGACTCTAACGTAAAAACAGCAGCATACGGCAAAACATGGGGTAATGAAATGAATACCACTGCATTAGCAAGCAACAAAAACAAAAAATGTACAGAGTATCAGTGGCGCACCTTGTTAATTTGTTTCCAACCGCCTCCCGCGACTCCTGCCGTTCGCGATCAGACTGCATCTGCAGGATGTTTTTGTCGATGAGCTCCTGCCGGTCGGGCCGCTGGGAAAGCTTGAGGGCCAGCGAGTCCTTGCGTGCTATCTTGGCGGCCAGGCGACCTGCAGGGTCAAACGTAGCTTAGTGAGGCACTCTTTTGCGAAGCGGAACTTCCGATACGATGAAAGAACTTGCGACGGTCCTTTTGATTCTTCTTTAAAGACAAGTCTACAGTGTAGAAGCGGTCAAGGGTTTGTAAGACAATAGTCATAGCGCGAGAACAGATCGACGTCACAGAGACAAGAAGGACATGTGTCTATGTCATCTCTGTGTCGTCGTTCTATTCTCGCACTATAATTAGCGTCATGTCACACCAACTAGCCCAAGCTGTCACACTTCTAAGGTATGCAAGACTTTCAGGTAGTGGCTGCTCGTAGTCGGTAACACACCTTGCTCGTCGTCGCCGTAGTAGTCGCGCCAGTTGATTGGACCGTCCTCGTCCGAGTCCGAGTGGTTGTCACCTCCAGCGGACGGGGGTGGAGGGGGCCAGTGGTTCTCCTTGTTGCTGCCCTCGTGCAGTTGCAACCCGGGAGGCAGGGGACTCTGGGCGCCACTGGGGCTCAGGTGAATCCGCGTTGGCCGCAACCTGTATGTTGGTCACAAGACGTTCATATCCGGCAGGGAGAGTGCACCTTAGCAAGTCTGTTGCTCGACATCGATGCACTCGCCAGTGTAAACCTACATTGTAGCTGAACCGATGGACAAAAAAAATCAGCCGATCCATAAATTCAAAATAGGACTGTGGCCAACAGATATAGTGTTCTTTGGCCCCATTTTGATTCAACTGTGCAGGTTCTTTTACAAAAGCTTTTATATACACATGACATTCAAGGAAAGGCCGAGAAGATATGATGCCAAGGGGCAAAAAGCTGCATTAAGAGGGCACAACAAGGAAACGGCTAAGGAATTTCCTAAGCTTCTCTGTACGTTCACTAGTGCAACAAGGCATAGAGCATGTTTTTCAGCCTGATCAATCTTTCCTCTGCTTTCCACTATAAAATAATGGGCCATGTCGTTGTAACTGAACTTTTGAATTCAAAAGAAACCTGAGTGAGCTGGTAGGAATTCATTATGAAATGCAGTATTTAGCACAAAACAAAGAGACACAATAAAATAAATATTGGTTTGTTTTGCTGCCTTATGTTCGTGCTTGTGTGGGTGCTAAATCTTGCCAAACTGAGGTGCTTGAACCCAAATGGAACCCTCCCCGGACGTAATCATCACCTGGCTTGTGCCGCCGTCAGCTGCTGCTGTGTCGCGTGGGCCCCGTTGACCTGCTGCTTCTTGAGTGCGCTCTTGCGGGGCAGGACGGAACTCCGTGGAGGCTCCTTGGCCGGGATCTCCTCTACGAGGGGTCCTCCGCCCCCACCATCTCCTCCAGCCGGCGAGGCTGGCGTCCGGGCGGGCACAGTCGCCTCGCAGATGTCGCCCGTAACCCCCGAGTCGTCCGAGTCGTCGCCCTCAGGGGGTACCAACCGGCGCGGCGGCAGGGGCGTCTGCTGCCGTGGCGGTTGCTGCTGCGTCGGGGGTGCCGTGGGAGACCCTTCCTGCGACGCAGCGGCGGCCGCCATCTGCCGGTTGCGCTCCGCCATGGCGGCAAACCTCAGGTTCAGGCTCGAGGCCACTGCATTTGAGACGAGAGAAGAAGGTGCGACAACGGAGAGCTAAGATGAGGATCGCTGCAACGGAAGCAGGAACTTGGACGATGGTCACCAAAGACTTGCACTTCCCCTTTATCAATGTACAGTGGACCCGTAGTAAATGAAAATTTCTCAAACAAAACTTCTGCTTAAATTTAACAGCTGTCTCTAACATGATTGGTTTAATACTTGGATTCTAAACCCTTGTTCTACTCTCTGTAAACGAACCTACTGTTGAACAGAACACATTTTCCTTGTTCCTGCAGGTTCAGCTTAGCAAAAGAGTATTGTATACAGCTATGTGCTTTATACAGGGTGTTTCAACAAATTTGTACCTAGGATCAACAAAACAAAATGTATGTGCTAGGCATGGCGAATTGGCTCACTATTATTCAGAGCAGTGTGGAGCATACCAGGATATTTCTTCAATCTGCCAAGCTGGGTAATTCACAAAAGCTGCATCACTTTTTTCATCAACTCTATCAATAAATCTTCTCTACTGAAATTGTAGCACTTGTTTTGAGATGACAGAGTACTTCATCTACGGTAATAAAACTGTGTATTCGATAAGCTGGTTAGCAAAGACTGCTTAATCAAACTTTAAAATAGCAAAAAAAAAATCCCATAGAGAAGTTGTAACATCTCTTCAGCAACATCAGATTATTCCATCTATGCCAAGATAGCTGCATATATAACAACAACAGAAAGCACAGGACCGAGTTGACTGGCGAAACATGGGAGAGACCTTTGCCATGCAGTGGGCGTAGTCGGGTTGACTTTTTCAGTTCCGGTGCTAGGTGTCATTGTTTTTACAGTGCACCTACGTCGCAGACAAGCACTTAGTCAGGTGCGTGCCATCGCCTAGAAACGCATGCACAAACTCGAGACGCCTACGGTCAGCCCGAATAGTGGTTACCGGCCCCTTCAACACCTCCAACGCCTGCCCAGACGTTGCCATTCAAGACTAACCTTCGGCGAACCGCAGCCCTAACGTGGGCGACGGGTTGGAGAACATTGGTGGGGGCGGGATGGGTCCGATCTCGTTCACTGCTATAGGAGGCTCTGGCAGTGCCGAGAGGGTCAGGAGTTCCAGGGAAGGGGGCTCCCCCCCACCACCGCTGCCGCCACTCATGCCGCCACTGTGGCCCACGGGGGACAGGTGCAGAGAGCTCATGTCCAGCAGGATCGGAGGTGCTGTTGTTCGGCGTGTGGTGTTTGTGAGGAAGGGGCGCACACCATGCGGGGGGTGGCGGCCGCACATTCACACGCACACCCACAGACACGGTGGTGGTGAGCAGCGGAAGAGGAAGAAGAAAAAAGGGGCAAGGAAGCAGGCGAGGAAGAAGCACACCAGTCAATCAGTCAGTCAAGTGCACCCATTGAAAAAGAATTATGCCATGAATTATTTGAAGAGGCACTAAAAAGAAAGTAAATTGGCACTGGCCGACAAAGCATTCTTTAATGAAGTACATTTTCATCAGTCTTGTAATGAGCTGACAAGGTGAAAGGAAGCCCATATATCAATTTTTTGAATACCGAGTAATTTAACAATAAGGCCCAATAATGAAAAAATGTAGTGAAATACTTCGTCATGCTCACATACCAATGACAATTTTGTAAGAAGAGTCATCAGGTTCAATCTTTCAAGTTTAGGTTTACAATTAAGTTTATTTTGAGCAATTAACAATTCACTGTTCCTTAACTAAGGATATCAGAGTGGCAAGGTAATGCGGGCGATGATGAAGTAGGAATCACCACTTTGAAGCCTCTTTTATTGTATGCCTTCCTTTTGTATAGTCAGAGGCTAAGTAGCCAATGAACAATAATGATCTCTTAAGTGTCTATTTACGTAATCTCCAATTACGCAAATTCTGGTGGCTGTAGCATTCAAGGGAAGTACGCATATGCGATGAACCAACCAACAGCTGCTATCCTTTCTGAAAGCTTTGGTGAATGTAAATGCTGTGCTTGGAAGTGCTAGAAAAGTTTCTACTTTGTTTAGCATTCGGCAGGCAACGCCATTGAAGCTACACAAGTTACATGCTCACAGCCTCATTCCTCCCCGCTATGCGATTCAGTTTTCTTTCCCATTTCACAAGCTCTCAATCAAATGACTACATCACATACAAGCGATGCTAGGTTAGCCGATATGCGCCACTGATAATTCCGACGCTCCCTATGCATTCGGCATGCAGCACCTCATGTTGCTGTAACAATATGCTGTGGCCTATGATTGCATAAGCCTGTCAACTCAATTTGCAAGACTGCAAGTATCGTCGGATTTACGATGTCTCTCCTGTAACAATTGAGACATGTTCTCATGACTCTTTCACACGCTACAAAATGTGGTTGGCCTTAAAAGGGCCCTGCAACATTTTTTTGAGCATGGTCAGAAAACGCTGCCGATCGGTAATAGAGGCTCTCTCGACAACACGTGAGCCAAATATTATAGCGCAGCACGCGACCTAGAATTCGCAATAAATTATCAAAGTCAGCTGAAAAATTGATTTCTCTTCTCTCGACAAATCACGAAACATGCCCCAAAATCACACGTAGCAAGCCCATCTATCAGCCATTACTATCAGCCATTGCTGATTTGAACATGGTGCGCTCACTCATTGCAGAGATCGCCGCGCGAGGTTGCTACTTTTCCAGGCTTGCCCGCCCAATCGCACCGAAAAAGACGCGCATTGGAAAAAAAAAAAGTGCTCAAGGTCACGAAGCACGCGTAACGTTTTTCTGTGGCTCTGCCATCCCTCCAGTGCTCAAGGTCACGAAGCACGCGTAACGTTTTTCTGTGGCTCTGCCATCCCTCCTTGCTTAGCTTCCAGCGCTTTCGTCCGGACGAGAGAAGAGAGAATGCAATTGCAGCATGCGACAAACCTTTGGAACTCCACTCACACTGGGCGGATTCTAAAAAATGTTTGCGGCGTTGAATTCGTGAAGCAATAAGGTCTTCTAGTGGATTCATCCCATGGTTACTTGAAATAGTGTTTCAGGGCCCCTTTCATCGTTGGCAGCAAAATGTGTACAGTCGTGAACATGAAATGTAAATGATTTAAAGGAATCCTAAAATGAATCGCAGTTGAACCCCTTTATCAGAGGCATGCTCCGGCTAGCAATTCTCTTTTTTTTCGAAAAGCCCCTTATAACCAGGGTACCTTGTATGTTTTCTTATCAATCCGTGTTTTGCTGTAGGCACACTGGTGTCTCACATAACGATTTGCCTCTTATATTAGCGTTTCTTATATAGGGATAGGACTGTATTCTGCTCTTAGTACGCTTGATGGTGGCAATATTTCAGCTTGCAGAAATATGTTAAGGCCTAAATAACCCTTGGCAACCATATAATATGTGGTTGTAGGTGTTCACGCATTGTCGCTCTTGACAACTGCATTACTTTGTATATTCCTGTACACACTTTGTATGTTCGTGACTGCACACCTTTAACTTCTATGACATTGCCAGCTGAAGAGTAAAACATCGAAAGTGTCGCACGCTTGTGGTGGTGCCCCACAATGCCAAACCATTCTTACAGCACAGAGAAAGCAAATGCGAGATAGAAAACACCCACAGACAAGTGGCAATGGTCAAAGCGTACTGCTGGGAATGAGCACAGAAGCGCAGAAGCACACTTCAAGATGCAGGATCGCACGTGACGGGATACACACGAGGTGGCAACACACATGCGTGATAACTTGTCGCACCCTGTGAGGTTTGCGGCATGCCTCGACGATGTCCTTGTGTCTGCCGCAAACCTCGCCGGTTTACTTGTTACAGCTCACAGTGTTTGACATGTTGAATTCAGTGTTTGACATGTTCAGCGGTGAGGTTTGTAGCATTTGGGCTCGATCGCAGTCGGCGATGTCGAATTAACTTCGCGACAACTCCGGTTGACAGTAGGATTGACTCGTGAATGCTTGTGCCCATAGGAAAGCCACCAGTCATGACATAACGAGTATGCATCTGTACATACGGCTTACGGAATGGAAAGAACAGTGACGTGCGATTCGTAGCAATGTGTAACTTTGCACAGCAATAGGTGACAAGTTAAAAACTAATTTTGAAACCTGCGAAGAGGCCTTTAGTCTCCCAGGCAACACTATGACCCGGGAAAGAAACAACATGGAACATTGTAGCGACTGGCTCTATGTACCTGCAGTACTATTATATTAGGCCAACCATGCTATGACGAACACAAGTTGAACATGGTACCAGTACAGACACAGAGAATCAATAAAGTTCTATTCAATGAACAGTGCACAACCATTGAGCACACAACAAATCCAAGAAGCAGCGCTAGTGGCTGACTCTCACAAGTGCGCCGACCGTGTGGCAGTTCCTAAAAGCTGTGACAACACGCTGCACCACAGAATAGCGAATGGCTGCTGTGTTTCACCAGTCATAACAAAGTGGACGAGCCATCGAAGATTTATCTCAGGCTTTTTCTCAGCCTATAACAGATAGACAGAACATATACACATGAAAACTTGGAAGAGCTAGACTGACTGAATGAAGTACGCCACAAAGTATGACTGGGACACAGCAAAGAGCTAACACTGACACTTCCAACAGACTGTCACGGCTAGTTTTAGCCAAGCTTTTTTTTTAACCCTTTGAGGTCCACCGTCAGGCCCCTAGCAACAACGCAACAGAGCTGCAGCAGTACGGGGTCAGGCACTGCTTAACACGTTTTTCTGTGGTTGATTCACAGATGAGTGAGGAAAACTTGTTTTTAGTTAGGTTTTAAACGAAACGGTTGGTAATGATTTTGGACCGTAAAGGGTTAAAAAGAATTCGAATGGTACAGTATGCAGACCAACAAGATGTGCACGAAAAACCCAAGGTCTTGTGCTTGGCGATGCAATGACCTAGCCATTAGGGCAACCACAGTCGGTAGTCATGTGACCCCTCTCAGCCCATGTTCAAGTTACAATGTAAACTCACAGAGAGCAATACTAAAAGGAGACGTGTTTCATTTACGGGCGGGCATTGTCGCGCACCTTTTGTCCCGCCAATCACTTGAGCAGCCATGGCTTGCGGCGGATGTCACCACCTACCTGTTGTGGAGTTTTCCGTCTCAGAGGAGGGCGCCGCTGCCGCTTCGTCCCCGGTGGAAGCGGGGTCAGATGCTATCACAGACGTGCTATCAGGTTCCGAAGACTCATCAGGGGACACAACCGCGCCATTGGCTTGGGGGGGAGAGGAGGAAGGGAGCGGTGGGGAGGGTGGGGTCACAGTTTCCCCTGCAAGCGCCGCCATGCCGGGGCAGAGAGAAGCAGGGACCGTGAGGAGATTTACCTAAAAGAGGCGGGGACCCCCCAGCGCGCTGTGCTGCTACTGGGGTCGCAACACAAAAAGAGTCCAAATAAAATAATAAAAACAGAAACACAAGAGAGCAATATGGCCAGTGTGAATGCGCGACTAAATAAAGAAGCCAGCTCATTTCAGGCTAGTTCACCTGTGACTAACACTGGTCGCACAACGAATCCCGTTGCAGAGCTACTACTTTGGAACAGTCGTTCGCTACTCGATTTTTTCAGTCTGGCAACTGCAGTCACAAACCTCTGAACCAATCAGACATGCAGGAAGAAGGCGTAAGTTAATTTGGTAGAGCAATAACAATGAAAACAGACACAAATATATCCTGAGTGCCGATGGTTATAATTCGCATGCAGGTGCGAACAATGGTTGCTTTGAGTCGCTTTTCAGTCACCTGCCGCAAATGGCTGCGTAGTCGGTGCAAATCCTCGATACGAATGAGGCTAAACATTTATGAGACTACAGAATGCCGGAAACACGGGCTTGAGCCCGTTCTGTGCTTTTAAAGGGTCTGCTTCTGGCAGAAGTGCAAAAGATAATGCTTCCTTCAAGAGTATCTTTGAGCTATAAACTGACCAACAAATTATTTTCAGCTTACGCTGTAAGCTGTTTGAGTGTTTAGAAACTATGTTTCAACCGCATCTCTGCACTGTGTCTTCCCTGACAACAAACAGCATCAAAATGGGGTGGAGGGAAAAGGTCCGTAAACTTTGGCGTTGTGGTCTTATAATGGCTTGGAGTGGCCGAACACACAAGGGCAGGGTTTCGAAACTACAGTAGAAGAAGCAAGTCTGCCAGAAAGGGGGTGCTCAAATATTTGTATCTCCCGAAATTTCAGGCATCAAAACAATTAACAAAATTATTTCTGCCAAAAGTCGTGTATGTCTTCCTTTGACACACTTGAGCGGGTGTGATGGTGTAGCCGGCTGATGGGAGAGTGTGGGTCAAAGCTTCGCTTGAGGCCAACTGAAAACTAACCTTGAACAGGAACGCCAGCACGCTTCTAGCCTCCTTTTTACCTCTTTATTGACTTTATTCTACCACTCCGTAAGGCCGGCACCCTCGGCTAGTAGTCGGTACTGATATTCGCATCACTGTGGCCAATGTTTCGGGTGTGGCGATTGTGGAAAATGGCAGCTCCGTTTTCAACCCGCGCGCATTGCCTCTCCATGTGCCTTCAAAACCAAGTATTTTTTCAGCTATCTACGATCGCATCTGCATTTGTGGAAAGCAGCGTCACTGACTGGTTGAGCACTGGATGCACATGCATTTTCGGAATTCGTCATTGCCATATATGGCCGTGTCAAGAGCGACTGTGGTTTTGCCCACAGCGGTTGTGGCAAACGATAACCGCAGTTCCCACAGTGCGTGCGCTGGCCGCGCGTGTCCTCCCGAAGCTTCGGATACGCTGCTCTCGTCCTATGTTTGACAGTTTTGCTACTGAAGTTCATACGACCTGCCGCGATGGAAAAAAAGTGTTCTGAACATCCGAATCTTGGCCCAATGGACATAGTAGAATTCTGCTGGGGAATCTCACGAATTCGTATATGCCGATTTCGCATCAATGAGGGTCTACTGTACGTTAAGATCGACGTCTCCTAAATTCGTGTCCAATAAAATGCGATGGGTTGTCAAAAAGCCTGCATTGATTTGAGCTGCAATTTTTTTAATGCGGCTGGATCACGCACAGAAATTTCGATTTCCGGGAGGTCTTTCCGAACAACCGTACAAACAAGAGAGCTGGTCGAAATCGCGGAGTCTCTCGGATTTTACAAACAAGAGAGCTGGTCGAAATCGCAAAGTCTCCCGGAAAATCCGGGAGACTTGATAGGTGTGCAATTACAACGTGGTTTATCACAATGGCAATGACAACGAAAGATCAGATGAAGGATAAAAGGAAGAAGGGACCTGATGGCAAAATCAACTTTTTCCGACTTTGTAAGAAGCACTGCCTTTTTTAAAGCATTAAATACGGTTCACGCTGAAAACAGTAAACCGCATAAAAAAAAGAAAGACGAGACAGAGGAGAAATTTCTAGGGCTGAAGTAAAACAAAAGCTAGAGCTTTACAAACTTTTAGAGGCAACATGTGAGAGAGCTTTTTTTTTTTATGTACAAAAAAAAAAAAATATGGATATGAACTGCAAGAAAAGCTGCAATACGCAGACATGGAAGGAGTCGCGAACAATAAATCACTGAAGCACAAGAGGCCAAATGGTTAGGGGTGTGCGAAAAATTAATTTTTGAAACCGAACCAAATACAAATTGATTCGAATAATACTTGTACAGTACAGCAGCTATCCGCAACATAGCCCTACAGGTCCAAAAGCTTGCGCTTCACACAAGTATTTACAAACTTCAACAACAAAAAAGAAATGTCAGGATTATATTTAACCAATGAAAATACCTCAATTACGTAAAATGAGCTAAGTTTGCATACAGCAGTGGCTACAGCCTTTGAGGTATCTTGTAGCTACGTGCTGAAATAGAGCCACTACTTAGGTATTAAATGTGGTCCTTTGTCACCAGCTCTTACATATGACCGAGAGATAAATGTTAAACAATATACCATGAATCAACATTACAGTGACTTTCATGATTATGAGAGCGGAGCGAGGACACTTTCACATAGTAAAACTAAAGTTTAAAACAACACCTTTACCCAAGGATTAATTTAGGGTCGATATAGTGCCAATCTTGGCTATTCAATAAATAAATGAAGCACGAAAAACAATGCCTCCCTTTTTTAGCATATTGTTCCTTCGTGGTTCCTCCGTCCGTGCTGATTGCACGATAATTATTTGAAAAATACTTTTTAATACTTTCAATATGCATTATTTGATTCGAATGCCCAATCGGATAGAGCCCTATTTGATTCGTTGTTTGAAACTTTTGAATGTTCACACACCACTACAAATGATTCCAAGGGCTTGTGTGCTAAACTACACGAATAAGCTGGGTGGGTAGCTAAAGCAGTGACCTGCAGAGGCCAAGAGAAAAAGCAGAGGCCAAGCAGAAATGAGCTAATGCAGAATTGCGGCAAATGGTCATTGTGATCTGGCATGTCATCTGTCATTGAGCTGTACTTCCACATTTATGCGAATAATTTTCGCTAAATATTGTAGATCACACATTTGTAAGTGTATTCTCGTGATTAAATTACCTGAGCCTTCTAGCTTCCGACATTCTTAACACCGAGTGATGTAGAACTTTATCGATTGAAACGTGCACAAAGAAATAAAAAGCTAGCCATAGCTCTGTTCTTCCAAACTGCTTTATGAACAAGCTTGCTCACACATTATAAATGATTCAGTCCCATACTTAACTATCAAAACTATTTACTAACTTGTGAGACGGTAAAGTTTTTCATTCGTAGAAAAAGCTACAAACAGTACCGTCAATTGCTACATTAAACACCAAGAAAACAGACGCATTCAGAATTGCACCGGAGATGATGAAGCACTTCTCAAGCTACGGATTGTTGAGAGCGAGAAATGAGGTGACGATGCGAAAAACCGAGGAGACCGGCCCAGTGCCAAGACAGATCTGGCACCAGATAGCCGCTGCAAGCCACCATTTTATACCAGGCAATCAGACGGCAGCGTGACAAATGTTGAAGCATGCACGCTCTCCATCAGCAAGACGAACGGTCAAGCTGAAGAAACACTACACGATGCCGTCGTTGCACCAAATGCATCAACTATGCGAGAAAAACACAGCGATGAACAAAGTGGGGTACCACAATCTCAACTGCATGGTGATAGGGAATGCCAGAAATGTTCTCTAAAGTTTCAGGCTGTCACAAAAAACTAATAAACTAAATCACACAAAGCACATCAACTATGTTGAAGATGGAAATGTGTCAAGATCAAGAGCATTGCGGGGGGGGGGGGGGGGGGAAGTAAACAAAGAAGAAGACAGCTGCCTCTATTGGCATGAATCTATTTTTAGTAATAGTGAATGGACAGGAGGGGTGCAACTAAAGAATGACTGAAGTCAAACGTGGGGAGTGATGGACACAGGCTACGAGGGTTAACCAGAAATGAAAAAAGAACAAAAACAGACAGAGAAAGATTGGCCTACCCATGGTCTTCTTGCAAAACTGCCCGCCTCCGTTCAGCATGCCGAAGGATGGGGGCTAGCCGTAATCCTCAACGGCGTCACATACTTGGCTCCTCGAACAAGTTTCGAGCCCGTCCAAAGAGCACAAAAATACAGGCACGCACCGCCCCACGTCGATGAAGCGTGTTAGGTGCGAACGACACAACACTCGCGAAGGCACCGCAACAAATGGGGCAAAAGGCCTCGAAATCGTCGGCGACAGGACGGTGCGTAACGGGTGCAATGGCTGTGCACTCTAGTGAGTTGGGTTGTAAAGACAAAAAGAAAGCACACAGCTGCCCAACAAGACACCTTCCGAAGGAGAGCCCTCTGGAATCTCGAGTGCGCCGGAAGGAGCCACGTCGTCAACGATTTGCGAGCAGAGTGGAGGTAGCGAGGGAGGCAGAGGAGAAGGAGAGGGCCATGATGCCAGAGGTATGCAGCCCCAAAAATAACCCATTGAGTCAAGGTGAGTGGGGGAGAACCCGCAAATGAGGACGTAGAGGGTGGGGAGGGAGGGCAGCCAGCGCCAAGGGAGCGATCGTTTGTTAGAAGCGCTGGCACGCGTGGAACAGACAGCAGAGGCACGGTTGTGGAAAAAGACTAAAAAAGATGCAGCTCGCGGCCATCAGCAGCTCGAGAGGAAGGGAAAGAAGGAAAGAGAAAGGGTGCACAGGAGTAGTGCCTGTTTTTTGTGCCAGCACAAATGAAGTTTGACGTGAATACCGCTGAAATTAAAACGGTAGGCAAAAAAAAAAAGACGTGTTAACGTGCGCCAGGTACCGTTTTCCAAGCTTTGTAGTAAGCACTTCTGCGGACACCAA